TAATTCATTTTTTCCTGTTTTCCTAAACATTTAGAAATAGCAACACGAGCTGATTCAATTTGTCTATTTGTAATTCATACACCTTGTTCAGCTACTAAAGCAGAGTCTCCAAAAGCAATATATTTATTACCTTTTGCTTTTCCCATAAAACTAACTTTATGTGGTTTTCTTCACTTAACTTTCTTAGGTTTGCAACATGATTTAATTAATATGATCTTGAAATAAATTTATTTTTACTGTTTTGTTTATTAAATTTTACTTCTTCTGGTAATGGCATGAAGTATTTTCCAAAATATAAACCTCTATTCACTCAAACTTTTACTCCCAAAACACCATAAGTGGTTTTGCAACATGAAAACAATATTCAATATCTGCTCTTAATGTTGATAAAGGAATTGCTCCTTCAGAATAACTTTCACTTCTAGACATTTCAACACCATTTATTCTTCCTGTCACTTTTATTCTTATACCTTTAGCACCTGCAGATAAAGCTTTTTTATCGTTCTTTTTAATGTTGATCTAAAAGGTGCTCTATTTTCAAGCGCAACAGCAACTTCATGAGCCAAAATATTTGCAGACACTGATGGATTTTTAATTCAAGAACATTCAATTTAACTTCAATATTTTTCCAATAATTTTGTACATGCTTTTAATTAAGTCATCATGTTCTTTTTCATTAGCTGTAATTAATGTGGGTTGTGATAAATGAACAATGGCAGTAAAAGTTAATTTATTTTCCAGATTTATATATCTTTCAATCTCAACCAAACCAACACCAGCAGCTTCACATTTAACAGCAATTAGCTTTCTTACTTTTTCATCCTCGAGAATTCACTTAATTGTTGTTGGTCTGTCTGGAGAATTTCATCTAGACAATCAATTTTTATTTAAACCCAATCTTAAAGAATTTGAATTACACTTTTGGCCCATGATTTTTATTTTTTCTTGTCAGATTTAGCAAGCTTTTTAGGTTTAATTTCTGAAGTATTTTGTATTACTTGAGTTTTATATTTATGTTGATGAGCTCTAGGTTTAAGCAATACTTTATTGATTTTGCTTTTTCTTCAGGATCATCAGAAACAACTACAGACAAATGAGTTGACCTTTTTCTAATTAAATCTGTTCTGCCTTTTGCTCTGATTGAAGTTCTTTTTAAAGTTGGTCCTTGATTTGCAGAACTAGCAAAAATAAAGATTATCTCCAGACATAGAATGGTTGTTGATTGCATTTGCTGATGCAGCATTAACAAGTTTTAATAAAAATTGTGCTGTTTTTTTTTTTGATTTTGCAAAATCTTGATGGCAGACAAAACAGGCTTGTTTCTGATTAATCTACATACAAGTGTTGCTTTACTTGCAGATACTCTTATATTTCTTTGAATTGCTTTAGCTAACATGATTTAATTTTTATTTTTGGTTTTTGCCATTGTATGTTGTTTAAAGATCTAGTTGGAGCAAATTCACCTAATTTATGTCCAAGCATATATTCATTGCAATAAACATTGATGAAGTTTTTGCCATTATGAACTAAAAAGTCAATGCAAGAAATTCAGGAAAAATTGTACTTCTTCTAGATCAAGTTTTAATTGCTTTTTTTGGATTGTTTTTGCATTTCAATTGCTTTTTTAATAATGTTGGACAAACATACAATCCTTTTTGGAACTTCTGGACATGGATTAACTATTTATTTTTTAAATGTCTTGATTTAACAATCATAAAGTTTGTTTTTATTTTTACTCTTGTTTTAACACCCATATGTCTTTTTCCTCACGGAGTTCTTGGTGCATCTTTACCAATTGGACATCTACCTTCACCACCACCATGTGCATGATCATTAGGATTCATGGCCGCACCCCTAACTGTAGGTCTAATGCCTAAATATCTTTTTACCTGCTTTACCCAAACGAACTAAGTTGTGATTGATATTTGAAACTTGTCCAACAGTTGCTAATGCATCGTTAGGAATTTTTCGGTTTCTTTTGAAGATAACTTAATGATGGTAAATTTACCACTCAAATCTTTACCTAATATTTGTGCTTGTGCACCAGCTGATCTAACAATTTTGCCACCTTTAGTTGGGGTTATTTCAATATTGTGAATAATCGTACCGTCAGGTATTATTCCAATAGGCATAGTATTTCCGGGTTGCAAATCAATCAAGCTTTTACTTGACATTATTGTTGACCCAACGGCCATATTGTTTGGAGCTAATATATAGCTTTTATGACCATCTTTATATGCAATCAAAGAAACAAAAGCTGTTCTATAAGGATCATATTCAATTGTTTTTACCAATGCAGGAACATCAAATTTGTCTCTTTTGAAGTCAACAACTCTATAAAGTTTTTATGACCACCACCCCTATGTCTAACCGTTATTTTTCCTGTATTATTTCTGCCGGCACAGGTTTTAATTTTTTAATAATGGTTTATAAGGTTCAACATCAGACAATAGTTTTTATAGTTAATAACTATAATTTTGTGTTTCCCATTACTTCTAGTAATTACTTGTTTAATTGACATTATTTTTGTGTTTGTTGTTCTGTTTGTGATTCTGAAGCTGTGTTTTTAAGAGCGTCATAATCTTTTTGTTAACTGTAATATATGCAATTTTCACAGTTTTGTAAAATTTTTTGATTTTGCAGTCATTCTTGCAGGTTGTGGTTTTCTGATTAATGTATTAATTGACAATGCTGACAATCCAAAATTACAAAAAAAGCTTTTTTTTGATTTCTATTTTGTTTGCATGTTTATTAACAATAAAAGACAATTTAGGTTTTTGAGGTTTGCAAAGAATTAGACTTTTCTGTTACTAAAGGTGCAATGATTACGTCTGTAAGGTACATGATTAAGGGTTTCTATTTTTGGCAAGTGTATTTAATTTTGCATCTATTAGCGCTCAGGCTGATTGTGTTATCAATAAATAATTTTGATTTAATAAATCACGAACTGAAAGATTATTTATTAATTTTGTATTTATATTAGGTATATTCCTTGATGACAATACTATTGTTTTTCTTCAGGAACATTAACTAACAATATTTTTGGACAAAATATCTTGTTTTTTAAAAAATCAAAAAAATGTTTTGTATTTGGTTTGTCATTTTCCTTATAAAATTATTTTCCAAACCATAACTGTATGATTTGCCAAAACAAAATTTCAAGCAGATAAAAAAAGAAAGAGCAGAAACTTTTTATTTAATTTAATTTCATAGTTTTTAAATTTTTAGGACCAAATGCACAACCACCGCCTACAAAGTGGGGATTTCTTCTAGAACCTTGACGGGCATTACCTGTATGTTTTGTCTAAAAGGTTTTTACCAGTTCCGGAAACTTCAGCTTTTGTTTTTGTATGCGCGGTTGATTGTCTTCTGTTTTGATTTTCAATATTTACACCATCAAAAATAGCTTGTTTATGTATCAAATCAGTAAAAAAGGCAGTGTTTTTAATTCAATACTGCTTTTAAGTCTCCAGAATTAGAAATGATATTAATTTTTTCATTTATTAGTAATTTAAATGGAATAGGATTCATTTTTATTTTTTTTTCTTGTAGTTGTACGAATTCTTACAATTCTATTTTTTCTCCCGGAACAGAACCCCTAACAAACAAAAGATTATTAGCAGCATCAATGTGTAGAATTTCTAAATTTACAATAGTTACAGTGTCATTACCATATCGACCAGACATTTTTTTCCTTTTCATACTTTTTGTGCAGCGGCACCACCTCTACCTGACTCTAATGAACCTTGATAACGGTGAGGATAACCAGCACCATGAGATTTAGGACCACAAGCAAAATTTCATAATTTAATTGCACCTGTAAAACCATGACCTCTCGTACAACCTTGCACATCTACATAATTACCTACTTGAAAGAGATCTGATAAATTCATGTTGTCTCCAACTTTTAACGAATCAATTTCAATGTCTCTCATTTCAATTAAATGTCTTTTTACCTCTAGATTTCTTGACTTAAATTGCCCGAGTTCTGGTTTGTTTAAAGATTTTCTCTTATTTGACCATAACCAATCAACACAGCAGAATATTTATGTTTTTCAACAGTTTTTATATCAACAATTAAATTTGGTTGTACTTCTATTATTGTTGTTGACACTAAATCACCTTCTTCAGAAAAAACCTGTTCCATTCTAATTTTTCCAATAATAGATTTCATAATTATTAATTAATGACTAAATGCAGATCAAGAGATGCGGGCAGGTTGAGCCTTTGAAATTCATCAATAAGCTTCATATTATAATTTTGAATAATTATTAGTCTTTTGTGTGCTTTTTTTCAAAATGCTCCATGGATGGTTTGTTAACGTGTGGAGATTTAAGTACTGTATATAGTTTTGTTCTTGTTGGAAGCGGTATAGGTCCTTTAACAACTGTGTTGTTAGCAATAGCTAAAGCAACAATCTTTTGAACCCACATGTCTAACAATCTGTAATCAAATGAAAAAAGCTTAATTCTGATTTCATGATTTGACATAAGGTAAACAACAATATTAAAGTATGACTTAAATTATAAATAATATGAGTGGTGTATTCTGAAGTCTGTTTTTGAAAATATTTTTGTGTTAATGCAAATGAACAAAATGGTAAAAAAATTGTTGATTTAATCAATGGTTTAAATTCGTTATAAAAATTAGGATTGTCAATTGACAATGTTTTAAATTTTTATTTAACAAGCAAGCAAAAATCATTCTTAACAAAAAAGAAATGGTAAAATTGCAATTGCACATCAATTAAATGTTTGAAAAAAATATTGTTTTGAGATGGAAAAAAATAGCAAATATTTTTAAAAAATTATTTTCACCAAGAAAATAAATTACATAAAAAAATTTATCAAAAACAACAAAATGCAAATAAAAAAACAATAAAGCTCAAAAAAATTTAAATTTTTTTATTAAACCAAAAAATAATTTTTGTAGCAATGTTTAAATATTTATCTTTTGAAAAAAAAAAACGGCCACATTAATTATTTATAATTTTAATTGTTGCCAGGTTAGTTTAGTGGTAAAACAAGACAATGGTAATGTCTAGAGAAGTGTTCGATTCACTTACTTGGCACCACTTTTATTTTTGGAATTAAGATTTCTTAAAACTTAATTTTTTACTTAAATTCAACAACTGCACCTGAATCTGTAAATTTCTTTTTCAATTCTTCAGCTTGTGAAGTAGGAACATCTTCTTTAATTAAGGCTGGAGCACCATCCACTAATTTTTTTGCATCCATTAAACCTAGTCCTGTTATTTCACGAATTACTTTAATTACAGCAATTTTGTTGCTTCCAGAACTAACTAAATGTAAGTTTTGTTCAGTAGGCAAATCTTTTAGTATCATCACCAGATTTTTCAGTAGTAACAGCAAAGTTTGCAGAAATGTTAAATTCTGCTTCAATATCTTTAACCAATTGATTGATTTCAAGCAAAGAAGATGCTTTTAATGTCTCGATTATGTCTTTATTACTTAATTTACTCATTTTTTAAATTATTCAAAATAAATATTAACTTATAAATTGGTTATTTGTAACAATTGTGCAAATGTTGCAATTAAATCAGGTTTGCTTCTTAAAGACATGACTTCATTTAAATCATTATCTTTTAAAAGAATTTTATCAAAATAGGCAACTTTTAATTTCACATCCAAAAGTTTTACATAATTTTCCAACTTCTTGAATTGCAGCAAGATCATCATGAGCAAATAAAACAGCATTTTGACCTGCAAAATTAGCGTCGCCAATTAATTTTGTTTTTATTAAAGATCTATTAATAATGTTGTTTTTTCCAACAATTATTTTTGAATCAAACTTTCTTAATCTTTTTCTTAAAGAAGAAAAATTATCACAATTTAATGAATGAAACTCAAAAAAAAAAAGATTCATGTTTAATAAATAAATCTTCAATTATTAACTAATTGTTGTTTTTTGCTTATAAACTTGGACATGTTATTTTTAATAATGTTGAAATATATTTAATAGGATAAAACATTGATAATTTATTTAAAAAAATTAATTATTAATTATGAAAATGTCATAATAATAATGGTAAATTGAAGAAGATTGTGGATAGCTGGCTTGCAATATAGCTAGAGGAAAGTCCATGCTTGCACAGGCTGAGATGCCTGTAGTGATTATGTAAGTAAATAAAAAATAAAACTTAACATCTTACAAAGGTGATGGCTAATCAAAGAATAAAAGATGTAAGTCTTAATACCTTTGATTTATAAAGTGCCACAGAGACGAGTCATAGTGGAAACATATGGTTGAAACATGATAAACCCCATAAGCAAGAAACCTAAATTTTGGTCAGGGAATTTAAACTGATAATTCACTGGTTTTAAACAACATCTTTGGTGTTGTTAGATTACCATTATCCACCTCATTTTTGAAGACAGAACATGGCTTATAATTTTTTGAAAATTTACCTATTTTTACTTTTTAACAAATAATTTTTCATAAATTTCAGCATAGTAAGTAACTGGATGCAATGTAATTTGTGACAATATTTCTTTTGGAATATCTTCTAAATATCTTTCGCACTCTTTAGGATAAAAATTTCATCAATTCCCACCTCTAACGGCTGAAATGATTTTTTTCTTTTAGCCCTCCAATTGGCAATATTTTTTCCTCTCAAAGTAATTTCTCCAGTCATCCGTTAACATTGCATGGAATTGATATTTTTAAAAATGCTGATAATAATGCTGTTGTAATTGTTACACCAGCTGATGGACCATCTTTTGGAATGCCTCCTGAAGGAACATGTAAATTAATGTCTAAATCACATCAATTAATGTTTTTTTAATTTAAATTTACTTTCATTAGCTTTGATGTAGGATAAAGCAACATTTGCTGATTCTTTCATAGTTTCTTTTAAATTACCAGTCAATAAAATATTTCCTTTCCCAGAATAAAATTAATTTCAATAGGCAATAAATCTCCACCAAATTCTGTATAAGCCATTCCATTAACAACGCCAGGTATAGAAATATCATCTTTGATTGTATGTGTGTATATTTCTTTAGATAAGTATTCTTTAACAAGAGATATACCTACTTTTTCAGTTTTCACTATTTTTGTATTTTGTTTAATAATGAATTTACGAGCTATTTTTGATAATTGTTGTTTTAATAATCTAACACCAGATTCTTTAGTGTATTTTTGTATTATGTAAGTTACAGCTTCTTCATCAAATGTCAACTCATCCTTAGAAATGGCGTGTTCAGTCAATACTTCTTCAATTAAATTATTTTTAGCAATAAATAATTTCTCTCTCTCTGTATAAGAAGTTAAATTGATAATTTCTAATCTATCTAATAAAGCATCTGGTATATTTTCTTCATAGTTAGCTGTTGCAATAAACATAATTTTTGATAAATCAACATTTTCTTCAATGTAGTTATCACTAAATTTTGTGTTTTGATTTGGATCTAAAACTTCTAGTAAAAGTAGAAATAGGATCTCCATGATAACCATTAGTTAATTTGTCAATTTCATCGAGCAATAACAATGGATTGTTAACTTGGGCTTGCTTTAAAGCTTTAATAATTTTTCCAGGCATTGATGCAACATAGGTTTTCTGTGACCTCTAATTTCTGCCTCATCATTTAAACCACCTAAAGAAATTTTTACATATTCTTTTTAAGTGCTGATGCAATGGATTGTGCTAAAGATGTTTTTCCAACTCCTGGAGGGCCAAACCAAACAAATAATGCTTCCAATTTTGTTTTTGGTTCTTTTTTGCACAGAAATAAACTCAAGAATTCTTTCTTTCCTTTTTCCAAACCGCAATGTTTTTTGTCTAAGGATTTTTGTATTTTTAATAAGTCACTTTCATCTTCTGAATACTTAGATCATGGCAAACACATTAATCAATCAATATAACTTTTAATTACCATTGATTCATTTGAAAAGGATGAAGTGTATTCCAACTTATTTAATTCTTCTTCAACACGATTTTTAATATTTTTGGAACATTTTCTTTTTTTAATCAATATTTAACTTTTGACACTTCATTTTCTTTTGTAATTGATTCACCTAGTTCTTCTTTAATGACTTTTATACGTTCTTTTAAATAAAACTCTTTTTGTTGTTTTGAAATGTTTTTGTTTACTTTTAGTAATTGAATGGTTGATTTCTTCTTTGCAATGATCAGATAAAAAAATCAGTATTTAATATCTGTTGCAATCTTTTATAAATATCTAACTCTTTCTAATCAAGATTGTTTGACTGTAACACTATTTTCTTCATTGTTTGGTCATAAATTACATAATTTGTCTACTAATTCATCTGAATTTTTAGGAGCTGATGAATATAAGATTTTACAGAATCGTAATCCTCTGCATTTGTTTCAAACAAGTTTTCATAATGAAAAAAAACTTCAGCAATTAAGCTTTTATTTTTAACAAAACTAGTGTTTTTTCTTTTAAAAATTCATAAGTTGAAAATCAAGTTTTGCCAAGTATTTTGTTTGCTCCGTCTATCTTTGGAATTTCAATAGATAAATCAAAAAGAATGACCCTTTTAAGCCAGTAACCTCAACTGACATTGAACCATCTTCATTTCTTGTAACTAAATCAACTCGAGAAAGCGTCCCTATTTGAAAATATCATCAACAAAGGCAAGTCCACATTGTATCTTTTCTGTGCTGCAACAATAATGTAAGACTCGAAATGTTTTAAAGATCACTCAACAGCTCTTAATGAATGAGCTCTACCAATTTCTAATTTAACTTCAGCGTTTGGAAAAATAACATTGCCACGTGAAATTAATATTGGTAGGTAATTTTTTTTTTTTCATTTAATAATGTTATTTTAGCAAAGTAATCACTTATTTGCTAAAAATAATTTTATCTTGTAGAAATGCAAACGCTTTCTCTTGCAATAAGTACACAACAACTAATTCTGGATGTTTAAGCATCATTCTTTTTGGTTCTATATTTTCGCGTGTATCCTCAGTACTTTTTAAATATTCCATTAATTTATCCTGTTCTTCTTGTGTGCAAGTAATTTTTTCTTGCTTTGCAATTTCTTCTAATATGCAAGCCATTTTTAATTTATTTAAGTTTTCAAAAACATATTTTTAAATATAGATTCTGCAATTTGTTCATTTTTAGCTAAAGAACGATTTGAATGCATAAATGCTTTAAAAGTACGTTCAGTTTCTATTTTTAAAAACTTTTCAGGAACATATGACAATGTGTTTGCATCGCTTGCACCTCATTGATTTATAAATCTTGCTTGTATTTGTTTATTGTGGATGGTGATATTTTCTTTAATGGCAAATTTAAGTTGTTCAACACTTGTAATTTGTTTGTCATTTAATTCTTTTAATAACGCTTCATCAATTGGATGTTTATCTCTAATTTCCTTAACAGTAATAAAAAAGTCAATTCTTCTTTTTCTTCCTTTAATTTGATACTCACTACTTTTGTTATTGTTAATTTAGCTGTCATAATTTCTTGAATTATTTCTTTTGGAACTTTAGTTGTTTCTAAATCAATTTCAATAATGTCTGCTGAAAATTTAAAAACTGATTTGCCATCTTTGTTTTTGCTAGGATAGACAATACAACACAATCTTTAGGTCCAATTATGCTTTCTTTTTTTGTTTTAAGTCAAAATTTAGTATCAGGATCTTGAAGAGAAAATATTGTTTTTATATCTGAAAAATCACCCAAAGTAATGCTTGGTTTTGTTTCAAAAGTAGCTGTAAAAGTAATTTCTTTTGTTTGATGATTTAAATCTAAAATTTCTGTTTCTATACAGTGTTCAAGAACTTCGTGTTGATCTAACTCTTTATTTTCATGTAAATGAGAAATAGTAAAATTCATCAATTCCTAAAAGCTTCTTCTGAAATTTTTTCAAAATTTAAAAATTTTGAGCAACTTCAAAAGGAACATGTCCTTTTCTGAAACCATTTACTTTTATATCTTTGCACGCCATTTTGGCCAACTGATTGTAGTATTGGTTATACAAAACTGCATCTGTAAGTCCAGTAACAAAAGCTTGATTGTTTTCTTTTTTATTTCAATAATTTTCATCTTTAAATAAGGTTTTTAATGATTACAAAA